GGGGGGGGGCGCTAGCTCTGCGTCTCCCTGGACTGCTGGGGGGAAGCGCCCCCCACGCTGCAGGAGGCGGCGACAGTGGGGGAGGCACCCCGCATTAGCGGGAACCCCCCCGCCCCCGGTTCGTAACTAGGGGTCCGACTTAAGTCGGACTGACGTAACCAAGGGAACTGCTTGTACTTGAAATCAACATGCTTGGATCTACTTACTGTGGTGTCTTCCTACCTTGTGTCGACTGGAGAAACTCTCCCATCAGTTCCCCTTATGCTTCTCCTTGAGGTGGAGTACTGGAGTCAACAGGAGAACTATCAGTGGTTGATTTATCATGTCTAGAGTAGGTATGATAAATAGATCCCCGCTGAATCATTACTGCCCCGTTGATCCAGCCCGTTGTGAAGACATGCCCTGTGTCTGTAGTAATAAGGAAATGAGTTAGAAGAAAGCAGTCTAGGCTATGGTTCTTTTTTCCTTGTTCCAACTAACATTGAAAAGCTATGTGGAGCCTGGGATCAGCTGGGGAGTCCCCAGCTGACTTCGGGGTCTACTGCCCCTTTGAAACACACGGAAGCAATGTTTCTAAAGGGCAGCCACCGCACAGCTGATCCCCGGCTCAGCTGTAATGCGCTGCTCCTTTGAAACGCTGTTTCTGTGCTTTTCAAGGGGGCAGTGGAGCCCGGGGTCAGCTGGGGAGTCCTGGGCTCTGCGTTGCACTGCCCCTCTGACACGCCACAGATGACCGGTCATCTGAAGAAGTGAGCTGTGCCCACAAAAGCTCATGATACCATCTACGTGTTTTGTTAGTCAATGTGCTACCAGACCATTTATTGGTTTTTTTAGGTTCATGTTTGAAAATGAAACTTTGTCTCCTACATCAGATGGGCATTGTAGCACTCACCAGAGCTTTGAAAATCTGGGTCAGAATGCCCAACTCTGGTAGGTCTGTGGTTGCACAAAGGTGTTTTAATTGGAAAATTTGATTTGCCCTTCCTATTGTTTTTTTTTTTTTTCAATTTGAAAAATCAATACAAGGATTTAGCCTCTAAAACATACAAAGAATGGTTCTGTTTTAGTTACTTTGAAAAGTGCATGATAGGGATGTTAGCCACTAGTCAATTATCCAATTAGCATAAGCTTAACCCATAGCTGAATAGTGATAGGATTATTTGCTTTGCCCTGCCCCATCCCTCTTTCCCCTCCCCCCTCCACTGCCTCTATCAGAGAGAGGCAGCAAGGGTGGGAAGCAGGAGCTTGTGCTGGAGGGAGTTGGCTTAAAAGCCATCATTATCTCCATGAGGGCAGAGGAGGTAGAGGCACAGTGGGAAACGGGCATAAGTGGGGAATGAAGCCGTCTCCACTCATGCTGCTTCTGCTGCGGTTCTGCTTTTGAAACTTACAAGAGCCCCAGTGAGGCTCTTGTACATTTCAAAAAGAAGCCCCGTAGGGACAGCAGGGGAGTCCACCTCTGAACCTGCAGGGCCAGCGTGGGGGTGTCCCCCGGTGGACCCGTACTCTCTGTGAGGCTTCTTTGTGGGGAAATTCCATTGACTATTTGATCAGTTAATCTAAATTTAACATCCCTAAGGCATGGAATTGAAGCTATTCATTTTGAAAGCTGTAAAATCTTAATCAACACTTTATTGTAGTGTTCTGGAGATACTGTATTGATGTTTGAAGAGGGCACTTGCATTATAAATCATACTTTCTTCTAGCACTTGGATCATCTTGAGAGAAGTATTCATTGGCCTCGAACTTTTGAGCTTAGCAGAGTGCTAAGTATGCATACCAGCATGTACATGTTAAGCACCACAGGTGTGCAGGGAAAGTAGCATGAAGACAGAGGAATGCAGCTGCATTCCTCTGAATGTGACTCAGTATGAGTGTATCCACTAAAAGGCTTTTTAAAATGAAATTGTAAGGAGAACACTGTCAGATTACTGTTTTAAAGCAGTTGTCAGCTGTTGCAAATAACACCTAAACACTTAGTTTTGATTAGTGTATATTACTTGTGCTGTCTTTTTTTACTCTTTTTTTGTACTTTGTTCATCTTAGAAAATGAAATAACTTAGCAATCAGTTTTCTTGTAACTTTCTTATGCATTTACACAACAGTATAATAGGTGACTTGCAAAAATTACAGGGTAACCCAGGCAAATGTTTTCATTTTCAAAATTCATGAAAGTCTTTCTGGCCCACGAAAGCTCATCATCTAATAAACCATCTTGTTAGTCTTTAAAGTGCTACATTGTCCTGCATTTTTCTATCACTGATTATTGTAGTAATCTTAACTGAGGTAAACCAAGGTTTTATGGAGGGAGGCATAAATGGCAATGCAAAATTATCTATAAATACAAATTATGGTTTCTGTGATGCCATAACACCAAATTTCTTGACTCTCTTTTTTGTTTTGTTTAAAATTTCAGTAACTTTACACTATGTTCTTGGTGTCCTATTTCCAATTATTTCTTCATTGTACACGTTTTTTCCTGTGTTTTAAAAAGAAAAAAAAGTCCTGGCACCTGATTATTTAAAAGATTTACTTGTAGAAATTTCATTGGAAGCTGGATCAAATGAGGCAAGCCTTATTGAAATCTTGTCTACATTTACCGGGAGATTGACGCTGCAGAGAGTGATTTTCCTTTTCCGCCGCCTCCCCCATTCCCCCCAGGGCTCAATTTAGCAGGTCTACTGAGAATGTGCTAAATTAACTGCTGATCATACTGTCATCTCTGGTACTCCACTGGATCGTGAGGAGTTTTTCCATTTGACCCCCCCCCCCCCCCCCAAAAAGGAGGTAAAAGAAAGTTACATTGACTCCAGTTATGCTATTATCGTAGCTAGAGTTGCATACCTTTGTTTGACTTGGCTCTCTCGTGTAGACCTGGCCTTAAAGAGCCAATCAACTTTCAAGAAAACATACTGTCAGAATTTGCTAATTTATCATATGAAGCATTCCACAAGCATTCCTTGATTGATTTTTTTTTTTTTTTTTTTAAGTGAACATGGCACATTTCCATGGAAACCTGTCTGCACGGTTTCTGGCCAGCTCATCCAAAGCCGCTCCTGCCTGGTGTGTTGCTTCAGAGCCAGGCCAGCCGGTCAGGCAGATTACTCTGGCACTGCTCATCCTAAGACTGGGAGAAATGAGAAAATATGTGGTGGTTCTTAAAGTGCATATCCATGTATATTCCAGTGTTGGCGCACTTTGTTTATTGTATGGCATCCATGTCTGTTGAGGTTGCATCTATATCTTGAGTGTCCTCATGCCTCTCACTTTGAGCCTTCAGTTTTATGTTCTCTATTGCATCTATTGATCAAAATTGCCTTTTTGGTATCAATTATATCTGCTGGGAGGAGGTTGGGGTACTCTTAGTACGACCTCCGTGGACTGAATTTCAGAAAATCAAGGGTGATCTTGATGTATCATCCAGAGTTCTTGCCAGATGTAATTCGTCTTCTATCACAGTCAGGAAAATGTGTGCCTGTTCCATGAGCTTTGCTACCTTCCCTGCTGTTAGAGAGCCTTAAGGCGCATGCTTTCTGCGCTCAAGTTGGAGGCATGAAGACACAAGGCACAGGCACAGCCCCAATAGAGGGATTGCTGACCAAAACTGAACTAGGGCACCTGCAGTGGAATGTATGTGGACAACTCCTTATAAGTAACTTTGGTCCTTTTAGATGTAACACTTTCTTTTTGTGCCGGAATAGAACAAAACCACATTTTGAAATCTTAAAATCCTCTTCAAAATGGAATTACTGTTCTCTTCCTAGTTTTTTTGGAAAACTCAGTAAAATGTCTGAAATCCATTTTTCCCCCTAGGGGTTAGTATTGCTGAACAGATTTCAAAGTAGTTGCTTATCTTACAACTCGTATTAGAGATCTACTTTGATGTATGTACTTAGTTTTCTATAGGTGTGGTTTTTTAAAAAGATTGTTTAAAATATACAGACTAGTAAATGTCTCAGTTATAACTTGTTTCTGTTCAACCCGAGTCAAATAATTCCCTGAACATTCACACGGATTAAAGGTGATCCACCAAATGGAAAATTTCCAACCATCCTTCCCATTTTAAGGACATACTTAATGGTTCTACATTTGCCAATTTGTATCTTATGTATTTTTACATTGCAGCTGTTTACAGATGGAATCACCAACAAGCTTATTGGTTGCTATGTGGGTGACGCAATGGATGATGTGGTTTTAGTTAGAATCTATGGAAACAAGACTGAGCTGTTAGTAGATCGAGATGAGGAAGTGAAAAGTTTCCGGGTGTTGCAGGCCCATGGTTGTGCACCACAACTCTACTGTACATTCAGTAATGGTCTATGCTACGAGTTCATGCAGGGAGAAGCACTGGATCCAGAGCATGTCTGCAACCCAGATATATTCAGGTAAACATCTTCAAAAATATTAAAACTTTAAAGTGCATTTTGAGAAACTAATGTCCTGTGCTTGGAAAAGTTTAGTGTAGAGCATGCTATTGGTAACCATACACACAACTCATGGAGATGGCTTACTGGGCACACATTTTAGTATCCGCATGCTTTTTTGCATTTAGTCTGCAAGATGGATGTTAAGAGGCAGGTAATTGGGTAACCATGTAGTCGATTTGTATCCACGGCACAATTAGTCAGTAAGGGAAGGATCTCAGAAGGAGCTACCCCTGCTGCAATACTGTAGTTTTAATATAGTAAGAGCTGGGTGTGCTAGTAACCGGACTCCTACCACATTTCATCTGCAGAGCTGAGCTTGCTCAGTCCCAGCTCATGACGGGTCCAACTGCCTCTGTTCATGGGAATCCCAGCAAAGAGTTGGGACCCCCCCCAGACAGGGGCTGCTCCCGGAGCAGCCTCCTACCCCCCTCCACTTCCCCTCTACTGCTGCCTTAGAGGAGACAGTATGGGGGATGGGAGTAACCAGCTTTTAAGCTGTCTTCCCCAAGCACCAGCTCCTGTCTTTCCCTCCCCCCACTGCCTCTTATTTAGGGGCAGCAAGTAGTCGACTTGACTGCCTGATAAGCCTAGGCTTATCAGGTAGTTGACTAATCGACTATTCTTTTACATCCCTAGTCTGAAACAACTAAGTGTTCTTCCTCCACATTGGCTCACTGTTTCCCATCTAGTTTGAAAAGATTGCACATGGTTCTTGTAGTTAGTCTGCTCCTTCTTCCCTCAGCAGTCCACAGGTAACCATTGTAGGAGTAAGGAAGTGCTGATGAGCTTTGTCTGTCAGTGCTTAATTCTTTCTAGCCAGTTTTCCTGCCTCCCACATTACCTTGCTTCTCCGTTATTAAGCATATATGTATACAGGCAATAAACTTTTTGAAAGAAGGTGTCAGACCTAAATATTCCCTGATACGTTTCAAGTAAAAAGTCACCAATAAGATACATATTTTTTAAAAAAATATGTAAATGTCAAGAAATCAACATTTAATGGCAAACACTTTTTTGTCAATCTGCTTGTAACCAGCTCAAAAGTAAGAATGCAGTGTTACAGTTTAAATTTTACATCTTACAGACTCATAGCCAGGCAGCTTGCTAAAATCCATGCTATCCATGCACACAATGGATGGATCCCCAAATCTAACTTGTGGCTGAAGATGGGGAAATATTTCTCACTCATACCTACAGAATTTACAGATGAGGAAGTAAATAATAGGTAAGTATTATTTTATTAAATATTTGATTACTTTTTAAAATAATTAATTTAATAATCTGTTTTGTCACATACCATATTAACCAGCTGAAGGGGAAAATATAACTGGAGTGGTTTTTAGGCACCCTATTCTCTCCTCCCCTCCCCTCCCCTCCCCACACACTTTCCTTGTAAATGCTACTAAGAAGCAGAATAAAATGATGGATTTGCCCATCCTTTCTATGTTTTTGGCCACATTCTTCCTCTAAATCAGCTGTGTCCTTTCCACTTTGAAAAGAACATGTGTTACTACGGGATGGGCAAGAGGCGGCTAGAGGGCCAGATCTGGCTTCTCAAGCTGCTGGATCTGGCCCATCAAGCTGCCTTGCCTGCACCCTTACTACAGAGCATCTGCAGCCACTTTAAACAGCAAGCTGCTAATTACTGTGCACACTGGGCAGGGAGGAGGAAGCTTTGTGTGCTGTCCCCACCTCCTAGTAAAATCCAACAGTTTCCGTTGGCTAGTTTCCGTCCAGTAGGAGCTGAGATGCTTTGCTGAAAGCAGGGGCAGTGAGCAAAGCCTCCTCTCTCCCAGTGCTGGAGTAGAGCCACATGGGGCAGGTAGCCCAGCAGACAGGCATGGAGCCTGTCTCAGGTTCTTGCTGGGCTGCTGTCTGGAAGCCACTTAGATAAGCACCTCCCAGCCAGAGCCTCTGGCACCCTGCCCCAGATCACCACCCATACCCTCTATATCTACTCTCTCCTCCTCCTCCTCCTCCTCCTCCAGGTCACAATTCCTTCCCAGACTCTGCACCCCCTCCTATGCCCCTCCTCCATGCCAGAATACTTTCCTGTTCACATACCGCATCCCTGACCCTGCACCCCATTTCCCTACCCCATGTCCCCACCCAAACCATCTGCACTCCCTTCTCCCCTCTTCTAGGTCATAACTCTCTTAAACTCTGCACCCCTTCCTATACCCCAACCCCAGGCCAGAATCTTTTCTTGTACCCATAACTTCTCCTGGACCCTGCATCCCAATCCCTTGCCCCAGATCACAACCCCCCCTTCCCTCTGATATCACCCCCTCTCCTGCATCCCACTCCTCTACACCAAGCTCTCTTCTATACCCCACCAGCCATCCTAGATCCCCCTCTCCCTCCACAAAAGTGCAGCCCTTGACCACTTACCAAAATCTTGGAGTAGTTCCCCATTAAAAATTATGCCCACCACTGCATTACTAGTCTTGTGTTTTCCTCATGTCTGAGATCCAAGTGGTAGTTCTTAAAGAAGTCACCTTTGGAAAAAAAATAGTAGGAATTCTTGCCTTCTTCCCATCTTATGGTGTTGTGACTTCACTGTGACAGTAAGCAGAGACATTTGGACTGAGGACTTAATCACTTATGTGTTGTAATAAGGGGAATACAGAAAATACTGAACAAGTATATACATTTCTGTATAAGTCCTTTATTATGAACTCTGCTCAGAAGAGAAACTCCTTTCAATTTTTTTGAACCCCAAAAGGTTCTTAAGTGATGTCCCAAGTCCTCAAATCCTTCAGGAGGAGATGGCATGGATGAAGGAGAGACTGTCAAATCTAGGATCCCCAGTGGTGCTTTGTCACAATGACCTGTTGTGTAAGAATATTATCTACAACGAGAAACGAGGTAGGTATTGAACACAGCAGTAAGTAGTGTTTCGTTCCATATCTGTGTTGTGTTTTATATTCTGTGGTAGTTGTCTTAGGGTGGGTGTAGAATTTTAATAAAAAATAATTAAATCTTTTATGACTTTTTATGAACAGTAGTAAGTGAAGTAAATTTGCTGCTTGAAATCATTGTTCAATATAATGGTAGCTGTATCTGTATAAATATATGAACTGTCTTAGTAGCTATAACCATAATTTTTAATTCTAAAATATTTTTTAGCATGTGGAGAAAAGTTTTTTTTTTTTTAAATTCTTAATTTCACTGTAATGATTCAGTCTGTAATAGATTTCAGAACTTTTTAAAAATCTTTTTGTCTTTGTAATTTAACAGCAATCTCATGAATGTTTAGAAAATATTGTCAGTCATTCATTGAACAAATTTAGGAGCTAATGTCTCCAGGTTAGTTTGTATTATCAATGTATTGTTCTGATTTGTCAGATACATTGGTGCCAAGGACGAGTTCCCCATTGAAGTATCATAATGATACTTAAGCTACTTTCAATGGCTCAGTTTATATCCTGCACATGAGGTACATAGGCATCTTAATGTTGAAGATATTTTGTAAATAATATTTTTTAACTGAGAGGTAGGATGTAAGTTTATCTTTGGAAATGGCAAATCAAATTTTTGTTCATTTTCAGATGTAAATATTTGAATTCTTGAAATAAATCCTTGTATTTAAAAACTAAACATTAGAAACTATCGAAAGTTCTTACAGAAAACCTTAATTCCTTCTAAGATTTGGTTGTTTATTGGTTTGAGGTTCGGTTACTAAATGATATATTCAACAGGCAAATGTGGTGAACCAACAGTAAATTGGAACATTGAAAACAGAGTGCAGAAAAATGGCTTTAATGAGATTAGTACCTCATATCCCCTCCCAAATCCCCAGAAGTCTGTGAGCTGAACTGAAAGTAACAAGTTAATTTTGTAGAAGCATGTTGGTAGTTGTAGGGAAGCTTACAATTGAGATAGTGAAGACTTTCTCTTTAAAGAGTGCTATTTAATTTCAGATTTGTCTGAGTAAAAATCTTGTAATTTTATCACTTGATTGAAAATTAGCTTGGCACTAAAGCCAGCATATTTGTTTGAAGTCATTAAAATGAATATGAACAAGCTGTTCTCCATCAGACATTCAAGTAATTGAGGCATCATATCTTAGTTTGTGCCTTGTGACTTGCATAAAATTTGATACGAAAGAAACATTGAAGTTAGTTCTGATTTGAAAAGTGGCTATGTACATCATTTCTACATCAACTTCTCTTTCATAATCTACAAGTAAAAAGAAATCTTTGAGCTGCAATCAATATATATGCAACCTCTCTGAGTTAGGTTTTTACTTCTTGCCTATAAATACTAGTGAGATATGTCCTGCAGCAAAAGTAATCATCATCTATGCCTTTGTAGCACCATTATCTTCCAAATTATGCTCTTGTGTACCTGTGCAATACTATTAATTTTAATTTCACTATTGAATAAAAATGACTAAGCAATTCTGTTGAAGTTTTCTCATTTCAAAGACCATTCAGTTGTTCATTCTGTAATGCTAATATAAATTAAAAAGGAGATAACATTTATTTGTGTTGTTAAAGTCAGTAGATCTGGTTCTGAATACACAGATCAGACATATTGAGAGAGGGTGCTATTTTTAGTCACTTTTCATAATAGAACCATGCTTTAGTGTAAAGTGCTTAAACAAAAAAAATTAAATGTTCACTATCACGGTTGATAAGCTTAACATTCCCACTTTTTTAAAACAAATGCTATATGCTTTTTTTTTGTAAACAGAGTGGAGGAAAAAAACAATACCAGCAGTGCATCACTTATGAGCAAACCTACAATAACCAGTGTGTGAGTGTATAGTGTTTGGGGGGATAAGGTGGGGAGGAGGGAGGAATCTCAATGTAAAGCACTTAGGTTTGGAGCTGGTTATAAATAACTGAATGGGAAAAGATTTGAAAGTATATGCAATAGCTAGACTGTGTCCATTAAAGCTTACATGCTTGAATATTGCAGCACGTCATGTACGCTGTTGTAAGAACTCTGCAATACCGAGATACAACAGGTACTATTCTTATAGTAACCAAACCTCAATGCCATCTGCAAAATGAGTATATATTGTCAAAACTGTGTATTTTGTAGTTGTACACGATTACATGCAAAACTATTAAACCCATGTTATGTAGTACAGTCTTAGAAGGAGGAGCTTCATCTTTATTTTTGAAGTGGAAACTCAGCTTTAACTTTAACTGCAAATAACATGAATCATATCAAGTCTGCTCAAGCAAACAAAGATTGTTAAAAAAATTCTAAAAATTAAGTAGCAGCATGCAATGAATTCTTCTTTGAAGCTGTTTTTATAAGAGCGCAAAGAACAATCTTAAAGATGCAGTTCACTTTCTGAAGATGTTACTGGTCTAAATATAGGAACCTAGCTAAAAGTTCTGATTATACAGCAGAATTCATATCAGTTCTTTGTCTTACCGTGATATGCTCTCTAAAGAAGCTGGATTTAAATCAGCACAAACAGAATCAATATTTCACCATTGGTGTTAGCAGAACTTTCATCATGTTGTCTAGTCATGGCTAGGCTTTGTGTGATCCACATACTATTAAAAAGCTGCACATGGTCAGTTTACACTAGTGCTCTCAGTAGATAGGCCCACCATTGTTTATCCCAACTCTTTAACACCACTCTTTCTAAGACTCTCCTTAATTTCCAGTTTAGCAAGTTTTCATACTCTGTGTAGACATTTGAAAAAAGTGACATGTATCTATATCTCTGTATATCTGGGGAGAATGGGGGGGAGAGACTTGATCTCAGATGGCATTAAGAATTCTTAAATCTGACCATCTCACCCTCTTTCAAAGAAGAACTCAAAAAGTTGAACCTGAGCATGGTTAAATGGGGAGTGTATCACTCATCTGATAAGTTGAAATTGCTCACCCTGTGCCTCTTGCTGCTTTGTTAATGTGTGTTTTAATCGCTCCGGATATGAATCCTCTCAATAGTGTTACCTTACATAACAGATTTATAATTGCCTACAAGACTTGTTCTCAGAAAGAAATAGCTCACAGTTTCACTTCATTTCTTGTCCTTGAATATATCTTGATGTGTGAACTATGGTTTTAAATTTAAGTAACTGACAGTTGGACAGCATTTATTTATAGCCCACTAGTCATGCTTTTGACTTTTTTTTTCTTTACCTTGATCAGGAGTTTCCAGAGTCTTTTCTGGACTCTCCCAGTGTACTTAAATACCTAATTACTAATTTTTATCTGCATCAGATTTCTTTCCAGCACTTCCAGAATATTTTCTGTTACTCCTCACTTTTTTAGTTATGGCAAATATTTTAAAAATAAGTTAAAAATCAGGCACCTACATAAGTGGCCTGACTTTTGAGAAGTGCTGAATACTTAACAGATTCCATTGACTGACTGTTGTTACTCAGCACTTCTGGAAATCAGGTCAACGTAACTAGGTGCCCAAGTTAACTGTTCTACTTTTTTAAACTTTGGGTGAACATATTTTAGTGTGCATCTTGGAGCTGGTGTCTTCACTGTGGTGAGGATTTTGTAGTGCCACTGTCATCACAGGAAAGTGATGCCCCCTTCTACATTATTAAGAGATTTTCTTGCGGGACCCATCCATTCACATTTATTATCACATCATCTTCTTGCCTGTTCATGATTACACAATATTCATATAGCAGCGTCTTATGTCAGGGACTACTAAAGTTTGTTAAACTATCTAGAGTACAATGAAGAGAAGCTAGAAACAGGAGCCTCTCTTGACTGTTAGCTCCCTGAACACTGTCAGCAAATCCCTTGTGGATCCCCCATCTTTGAATTCAGTTGTTAAACACAATTTCCGATGCATCAAACACAAAATAAGAAGCACATTGCAGGGTGTACACTCATTTTTATATGAAGAGTGAAATAGTGTGTAGCCTTAAACATTAAAGCTTTGATTTAATACATATAATTGCCTTGCAGAGACAGTGCTGGAGAATTTGAGAGCTTAAATACCGTGCTTCAGTTTGAAATCTCTTTTCTCTCTAGACATACTCTTCTGTGGACAATAGTACAGAATTAAACTGAAGTAGTACAGTTCATAAATGTACTTCATATATTAGAGTTCTCTTTAAGCAAGTTTTTAGTAGTAGCCACTATTGGCCTACCTTTTCTTGTTGAAGTTAATTTTAAAAATCTGTCTAAAAAAACTAGTAAAGGACTTGTAGTTCAGAGTTCATCATAATATAAACTAGTTGCTCTTCTGCATGAATTCATCTTTGTTAATTCTTCGCGTGTATTCCTAAAACCTTAAACATAAATTAAGCTAAAGAATACAATGATAACATTACACAAGATAATTTTCATTATACTATTTTGTTGTAAAATAAGGCAGCTGATAAAATGAAAGCAAAGTAAATGACTCTGCCCATACTTTGACACAGAGGATTGAAGGGAACTATGCATCTTTAACCTTAACATTTGTTGCAAAAAGTAAATTTAAGGTTGAGTTCCACTGTTGAATGGGTCTGAAAAAGGAGAGCAGTAAAATGCAGAGCTTTTCTTTTTTTAAGTTTTATGTCATTTCAAATGTGTGTGTGTGTGCCAAATTTTCTTCATCTGCTACAGATTAGTATGCCATTGTTGCTGCCATGTGGCGGCGTGCACACGCCGTGCTACTTAAACGCACTGACTGGAGGTTTATCGCATCAATTGTTCACGTGCACCTCCCCCATAGGAGAGCACAGAGCCTGGTAACAGCCTCATCTGTATCTTGTTAGCTTCATGTTCTTATTTTATAAAACATTAACTATAACTGGCAATAACATTTTTAAATAAAAGCTAGCTATCATAAAATAATGGCACTGCAGTGTGAGATAAAATGTGGATTAAAAACACTTTTTAAAGTATGTCTTAAGTTTATACTTTGCAAGCAGACTTTTTACCTGCTATCTTTATTTGCCTTTATATGCAAAATCTTGAATAAAAGAAACTTTTTAAGTGTTTGGACTAGCCAGTAGAAAATCCAATCTTATGACAAAACGAATATTAACCAGGGTTGGGCTGTGTATTTGTATTGGTATATATTTAAAAGATGAGCTTTAGAAGTTGTGTGTGCTTAAATCTACAGCAATATTAAGGAATCAGCAAGAAACATGTTATCTGTTTCATGGACTTGCCACTCGGATAACTGCAGTTAAGCTGCAGTTTTGCTTAAGATCTTTCTGTAAGACCATTTCCAGTGCTTTTCAATATTTTAACAACTTTTAAGTCATGGGAACCTCATATGTACTGCTGGCTGGATGTACTTTGTGAGGGGTGCTCTGCTTTAGACACTTCCCTGCATTGGTCTGACAGAGAACATATTTGTTAACCTTTCAGGCAGGTTGCAAAGCCCATTCTCCTGCCCCCCTTTCCTGTGGAGGGAAACATGAGGTGAGGGTTGAGGGTCTTGTAAATATTTAAATTATTTTATATTTATTGTCTGTTAAATTTATGGGGGAGTTGCCTAGACTATAGGATGGGTCTTTTGACACATTGTATACATTTGAATACATATATTTGTGGCATGGTGGCGACATGTAATGGCACTGATTGAAATCTTAAATACTTGCTGCTGCATGCTGTTTCTGAAAAAAATGACTATAGTACTCTGTGCAGAAGGAAACTCGGGAGATGCATGCTCATGGATACTTATAACACATTTTAACTTGTCCTTAATGTCCAGTTTTAAACTTCAGTCTTTTAAGGAAGTAACACCTGCAATGTAGGAGGGGTTAAAATATATCCCCATAAAAATTAAAAGATTTCTCATTCAAATCCAATTTAAAATGTTTTTGTAATTTAAGTTTAGTGTTAAATTTGCTCAAGAATTTGACTTTTGTCCACAAGAGAGAATAATCAGTATTAGTAATTGTAAGGTTTGCTTCATTATGGCTTAATATGTAATAAAATCACTTCTTTAGAGCTTCTGAAATTTGTGGCAGAAACTTTAGCAAGGTTAAAGCTGTAGAAAAACATCACAACTAGATTCCTAATAATCATGCAACTTGCAAGGAGTTTAATAGTTATAACATTTCAGGAATAGCGTTTAATTTTGAATGACTATCAGTTATTAAAGTTCAATATAGGGAAATAGAAAATTTAAATCTGAATTTGAGGTGGGTATTGAGTAATCTGAAATATATACCACTCCCCTCAGGCAACTGGTCATGTACTCTTTTTCTGAGACTCCAAGAGCAGTACGAATTCTGTCTAGTTCATATTGAAACCTGACTTCCAAATGTCCATTTGAATGTTACTGTGGAATGGATTTACCAGAGGCGAATCAAAGGCCGTACAACAGGGGTCGGCAACCGTTTCAAATCAAAGAGCCAAACTATATCAAAATTCAGAACCAGTAGCCAACGAAGAGTGATATAAGGATGCCCATTTGCATGACTGAACATTTACAACTTAATATTATTTGACATATGATTAATAATAGCATAAATGAAACCTTGTACTACTCACAGATTTTATTTAATGGGACTTCTGCTGCTGCATCTTTTCACACATTTCTTTGAAATTTACATATAACTGGTCAAATCCAGCTTCAGGCATGCATTTAGGCTGTCTGCTGTCAATCTTAAGACGGGGCTGGAGATGTAGGCTGCAGGAATCAGGGTTGGCATGCATGAGGGGCTCAGGCAGAGGATTGTGGTATGTGGGGGGTGCAGGCGTCAGGGTTGGAGGTCTATGAGGGGCTTGGGGCACACACGGTTGGGGTGTGTGGGAGGTGCAGGAAGGCAGGGCAGGGTGGTGGGGGTAGGAAGTAGAGTATTTGGGGGAGAGGGGGTTGGCTCTGGGTTACCTTATCTGGCTGGGGCTGGGCTGCTGCAGCTGGTTCATGGCCTTCCCTCTTACCTGTGCCAGAGCAGGAGGGGACTGCCATCAGCCCTTTCAGTGGCCATACATAGGTTGGACCGTGGGGCCTGTCCCAGGATTGGGGCCAGGGATAGGATGCTGCAGCCAGATGGGGGCTGAGCCCCAATGGGGCCTTTTTGCCAGGCAGCCCCTGGGGGCAGCCGCACCACAACTCCAGCCTTGGGGAAGGGCTAAAGCTAAGGCTGGGGCTGCAGTGAAGCTGCTCCTGGGAATGCATTGCAGCCCTAGCCTCAGGAGCAGCCACACCATGGTCCAGCTCCTGCAGACGAGGCAGTGGTTCGACACGGCTCTACCAAGCCGTGTGACGGCTGCTGGAGCTGGAACCTGGGCCACGGTGCAGTTGTCCCAGTAGAGACAGCTGCAGCCTGGCTCCAACAGCCAGGGCAGCCAGATATGGCCAAAAGAGCCATATTTCATGCCCTACTAGCCATAGGTTGCCGACCCTTGTCATACTATCTGGATGTGATGCACTTCCCGCAACTGCCGTCCTAGTTGTCCAGGCAAACCTGATGTCAACAGCCATTAAGCAACAAGGAAGCATTTGGGGTAGTGCTACATCTTTTGTCCATGGTGCTTACTGCTGTTAGACTTCTTTTACTTAATATCTGCAGGCAATTTATTTTTGAGACTGGTATTCAAACATGACATGCCATTTCTTGAAATAGTACTAAATTCATAACATCATCAAAACTAGAAGATTGTTGAATAATTGGGGAAATGCTATCTTGTAAAAAATGATTCTGTGCGTGCTACAACCTACGTTCTGAAGTCAGATTGCACTACTTGATTGTCAAGAAAGTAGTTTGGATTACTTATCTATAAATCGGCTATCTTAAGAGAGAGACAAGTAATATGTATTTCTAGCTAACTATAGGTTGAATCTCTCTAGTCCAGCATTCTCTAGTCCAGCATCATCCATTGTCTGACATGATTTTAGTTACCTGGATGTCCACTTATCATGGGTTTAGCCAAGTTTTCCGTGGTCCCATAAAGTGTGTTTACAGCCACCTGTCCTGGCTCTCCGTGATCTGTGCTGTTGGTTAGCTTTAATTGACCCCCTAATGTCTTCTAAGAGCCCAGTCAGCAGCGGATGTGTTGGCAAGACTGCTAGACAATGTTGATTTCACATGGTTTGGCAAATTCTCTGGCTCGATACTGGTTAGGTCTCTAGGTGCTGGACTAGAGAGATTCAACCTGTATAGGGTTTTTAAAAATGTATTTCTCATTAGAACTGAATCTGTGTTCCTAAGGTAACCAGTGCCCTCTTGTGGTAGATATTGACTGAAATAGCCATTATGCAAATTTAGGAAGTAAGCTGTTGTTCAGAGTGTACATCTCTGTCAAGTGAAGCTCAGACCATAAAATTCACAGCCTTACCCTGGAGTGTCTCAAAAGTGCATGCAATTGGGCACAAACAATGACACTGAAATGTTGGCAAATGTCTAAGAACAGCACTGATTTAGGGCATAGGTTGGTTTGTTATGAACTCTTACGTTTTCATGTTTGTGTCTCATATAGGTGATGTGCAGTTCATTGACTATGAGTACTCTGGATACAACTACCTGGCTTATGATATTGGAAATCATTTCAATGAGTTTGCAGGTAAAAATTGAATTGCCAACATTTAGAAAGTTTATTGGTAATAAAACAATGAGTCTTTTGATCATTCTATATAGTGCTTTTTGCCTGAAGCTTTTCGAAACCCCGACTCTAATAAACCACTCAGTGCCAGCGGTTACTACGTGTAACACATTTTTATAGCACTTATCCCTAAATAGCATTATGTAGGATCTCAAATGAAAGTCAGGATCGTGCTGGTCACATAGAATGTAAATGTATGTACTGATATTTTATAAGTTACTTTGTCATATTGAAAATGTGCTCTTACAGATTGTCAGGGTTATTACTCCCCAAGAGAAGTGGAAAACTAGCTTTTTGTCATGCCAGAGATTTTATTCATCCGTCTTTTGAAATATCAATTGAGTATTGTCTTATCCACAATCACCAGTCTGAGCTAAATACAGATGGAGATTTGTGAGATTTAAGAAAAATAGAGGAACAACACAAGGAGAAGAATCTTTGTCTAGGACAGACTTTAAAAGTTTATTGGAGTATGTTGGGATAGAAACACCATCCTGTTATGCTGAACTTGAGGAAGTCATTGAGCAGAGCAATTACATTCATGAAAACAGGATCCCAACTTGTCCTGGTTGGAATTCCTGCAAGATCGCTTTTGGGTGACTTAGGAATGCTTTTAGATGTGCCAGGTGATTAGCCTGTTACAGTTTAATCTAGTAAGAAGTATGTTCTATTTTGTGTGTAACCATTTATGTTTCTGCTTATTATCCTTATCCTTTAAATATTAATCTTGGGTAACAAACTTACGATTGTTTCACTATATGTCTCAGTTCTATGATGATATAACAAATCTGATTTTGAATTGTACCAGTCAGCCTGTATGTACATTGATCCTTTGGAGAAATCTTAGCTGGTAATTGCTGAGAGTGTCCTGGATAATGGCTGTATACAACAGAGGGACTCTTTCCGTGGAGCTTGGGAGCTAGGATACACCTACTGGTAACTACAAGGCGAAAGTAAGGGCTGGCATAGCCTAAGGAAATTATTTGGGTTGCCAACAGACAGGTGAGGTTAAAGAGCACAAGCAAATCCTTGCTCTCACTGGTGGCAAGAGGATAACAAGGTGACTTTCAGTCCTGGGTGCCCTAAGAAAATGTCACAAAAATGTATTAAGGTAATCGATTAATTTAACTTAAAATCTCTGTTGGAGCTAATTATGTGCCCACTTTGCAATAGTGGGAATTAAGATGTTGGAAGCCTGTGATTTGGACAGAGCCATACAAGAAGTATGGCAGAGCCAAAAATAGACTTCCCTACTTCCTGATCTCTGCTTTAATAGTGAGATCATCCTTTGCTCTGTGTTATTAAAAAACCAATAAGGGC